CCCCAAAACCCCAAAACCCCGTCTCATCTCATCAAACAATTTTTAGGATATATTAATAGTTTTATGATAATATTACTAATTTATTGAGCTTTAAAGCTTCTTGATTTAGAAATATAATTACGTGTACTTTAAACTTTTAGAGAATTCTGATAAATCATAGAGGATTTGCAATTTGCTTCGATATATTTTCAATTACATTTTTAGGGATTTTTACGTACCAAATATTGGCTCTACCATCATCTAGTTTTCTTATAATATAGATCAAAACTTGATGTCTGATTTCTTAAGTATATATAGCGCAATTTCTATTGTGACTTAGAATTTAGTTAATAGCGTTAAGCCTTCTAAATATGCTAAAGTCAAATTTTTACTTCTCAATGTTAGTTAAGATACCTAGCTGGTTTTGTGATAATTTAATAATAATTGGTTAATCGCCTTTTCTAGCTTATTTCTAATTCAAAAGCTATACTTTTTCATCAGCCATGAATTCAACTATTTTGGAACTGTTATCTTTACTCGTTCTATCTATTATCTGAAGACTAAGATATTTCTCACTCATATAATCATTCTAAATGTTACAAATGTGATTCTAATTGACTATTGTCAAATGAGTGAGTTTGTTTTATTATTAGAGCTCAATTTTGGATGTGAGCAATAATTAGAGAGGTGAAGTTAGCAAATCTATATCATAGAAACTTATGGATTTATTATTCCTGAGACAAAGTTCAAATATGAACTCTGATTTTCTATGCACTTTAATAACTTAAAGCCAGTTCTCTTTTCTTTGCAAAAATATGTTTTGCTCAATAACCATTGTTTCCATGTTCATTATTTGCAATTAAGCTAAATTTTTGAACCAAAAGATGTAGTATATTTTATTGAGTCTGATTACTTAAGGCTTAGCTTGCACCTTCATGCAAGAATACTTGTGAGATTGCTTCTTTTTATTACAAATTAGGACAGTATTCAAGAAATGTTGGTAAATAATCACAGTCTTTTTCGAGGAAGCTAGTATTTATATCATTTTAGGACAGCATTAATTTTATCTTAGTATTTTTAGGTTTTTCTTTATTATTAGATAAGTCTTGAATGCTTCTTCTGACTAGCTGAACAAGAAGGTATCCTCAATTTGGAGTGTATTAGGGAAAGATTTAATGATCCCTTGTTTAACTTTGATGTCCCCATATTATGTATTTTCTTTGAAAGATTGAAAGTAATAGTTTTCCATTTTCTCTCTATGATTATTTTATTGATAATTCAAAAAATATATCCTAATTATTAAAAAAATATCAATAAAATAAAGCTCAATTTATGCTATTAATTAAAGTAAAATCATTAAAAGCTTAAAATAATGCCAAGGGGTTTTGGGGTTTTGGGG